AAAACAGGCAAGGTTCTGACAATGGCAAACAGGGATATTGAGGGCAAGACAAAGAGTAATCCAAAACGGGCGTGAGTCAGTCGGCAGCAAACGTTATCCAGAGGGCTTGACAAGAGGGGAAATCCAATAACACGAGCAATAGTCCAGGCAGGAGCAAACAGAGTCCGAACGGCGAGACAAAAGGGCAATCCGAGAAACACAGGCAGGAATCAGAACACGAGAAAACAGGCAAGGCAAGACTAAGACTAAACAATGAAAACTAGAAATGGCTCCGTAGAGTAGCTATCGCTAGGTGAGTGATATGCGCTAAACAATACTCGGCCGTGTGAAAGGGATCTGAGTGAGTGTTATATAGTGAATGTGTGATTGGTTACAGCTGTGTGCAATCAGTGCTGTGTGCAATCAGTGCAATGGATGATGGGATATGTAGTCCGGGATGACATGCAACAGTTTGTGTAGTGCGAGAGTCAATGTAAAGGAAGGGTGACCTCTGGTGGTGAGTGAAAGAAGTTCATAGACCAGATTCATGACAATCAGATTCAAGGACTAGAAAGAACTGTTGTAGGCCTATTGCTGCAAAACATCCACTTGTTTTTTTTTTTTAAACGTACAATTCGGAAGTTCTAAGAAATTCTATTAACAGTTTTTATAATTTAATATATTGCAAATTTTCAAGTGTAGCAGGTGAGTTTAATGATTTTTTTTTTTTACTGCTATCCAAATACACTGTAAAAATATTCTGTGCTTTAGTCCTGTTCACACAATTGTCAGCATAGGCATGAATAATTAATGCTTGCATTGTTTGCTAGATTTGTTTACATTGTTTTCGACTTTGATAACACTTTGCTGTCTTGTGATGGATGAGTGTGTTCCTCAAAAATATTTTTTGAGTTTGAGTTTGGTTGTTCCCCGTGTTGTGTATTTTGTCTTATGAGTATTAATGGGATGAATATTCATGTTATGTTGTCAGCAGTTAATGATAACAAGGACTTTTCTCTTAACATGCACAATTTGTATATAAAACATGAGACAAAAAACACATAGTATTGAGCAATTTAAATCCATGCAGTTGAAGGAAAAAATTGCATGCAAGTTGACACAAAAACGGTTTTAAGTTGAAAACATCTAAATGATTGATTGATTTTTTATTTTTTTTAAATACACAGCTTTTTGCTTCAAAAGTCTTTATTTAATGGACTGGAGTGGTGTGGATTTCTTGTGGATTACTGTGATGTTTTATCAGCTGTTTGGACTCTCATTCTGACGGCACCCATTCACTGCAGAGCATCCATTGGTGAGCAAGTGATATAATGCTAAATTTCTCCAAATCTGTTCTGGTGAAGAAACAAACTCATCTACATTTCGGATGGCCCGAGGATGAGTAAATTGGTGTTGTTTTCCAGTAAAATATGCATAATGATGGTAATTACTCGAAAGATCGCCCTCATCGCCGACAATGATTTTCCCACATATTCTGTTCATATGGGAGTATTGCCTATTTCATATCAGGTCACAGTGAACAAAACACAAAAGCCTGTGAATGAACCATGGTCAGAAAAAAATAATGCTGCCATCCTCTGGTTGAAATATTAATAGCAACAGTTCCAGCTGTACCAAACACATTTATTATGTAAGGTGCTTTTATTATTCCACTCTCAGTTCTTGAGTTTTCATTTGAGGAGAGTTCTTCGTCAGTGTTTCTTGACAAACAACAAAAGTATCTGCTCTTTCTCTAGAATAATGGGCTTACACATGACCATACACACACTTGTGTATACAAGGACTGTCCTTTGAACACTCTGCTGTAATTTTCTCAGCATGCACACTCATTTCCTGTGCTGTAATTACAAATGCACTCCCACTACAGAGCACATTTCCCATCAGGCAACAACCTCACTGTTTAATAGGGCTGAATATGCAATAATACTCCAGAAATAACTGCAATTATTTGTATGGATAGAAAAATACTTTTCAGATGTATTCGTATGAGGTTATAAATTCAGAGCTCAACCAGATTTTAAACTTTTATTAAAAAGAATAAAACATAAGAATTCAGGCAGCAGGCCTTCATTTAACACCATGGTGATTGAATGGACATTTAATAATTCTGTGATTACATTCAGTTTCATCAGCAGTGCATTTAAGACTGCTCCCTTAATTCAGAAGTGAGGGATATCTATCAGCAGCAGTCTGTAGGCAGAAGGGCTGTCAGTAAACCGGTTGTGCACACAGGGTTTTTTTTCTGTTTGCGTGGGGTTGGGATTCTTTCTATGCCATGAGATGTTTGGATTTCTGGAGGAGGATGTGGATTCAAAGTGTTTGAACATGCTGAACTAAGTTTAAAGTTGTCCTCTTTCTCATCATTTTTGCTTCATGGATGATGGATTGTGGAAATGATAGTTGTATTTTTTTTGTGTTTCATAATTTACTCGGCCTCATGTTGTTCCAGACCTGTATGACTTACTTTCTTTTGTGAAAAATAAAAGAAGATACTCTGAGGAAAAGTGTGTTTGTCAATAGTAACTAAAACTGTTTGGATACCAACATTCTTCAAAAAATCTTCTTTTATGTTAAAAGTAAGAAAATAAATGCAAGAAAAAAATAAATATAAAACATAATAAATAAGTACATTTACAAACAAAATCTATACTACAAACACTAGTTCTTAAGAGTAATGACAAATAAATGAAGGAAGGAAGGAAGGAACTTTGTTCTGTGGAACATAAAATATATTTTGAGAAAAGCGTGTTTTGTTTTTGTCCACACAAAGAAAGTCCATGGTCACAGACAATATTCAAAATATCTTATTTTATATTCTTCAAAGATTATGTATGTATGTATGTATGTATGTATTTATTTATTTCAATTAATTAGTTAGTTAGTTAGTTTGTTATACTTTTCTGGCTCTTATGTTTTTTTTTAATGATGCTCCCAAATGTGATTTTTCTAAATTTGTTTAGTTTTAGTAACGAGGTCTTAAGAGACTTTTACGTATATTAAACAAACAAACAAACAAATAAATAAATAGACAACATAATGCATCCAATAGAGAGTTAATACTATTTTGTATTTATTTATTTCAATTAATTAGTTAGTTAGTTAGTTAGTTTGTTATACTTTTCTGGCTCTTATGTTTTTTTTAATGATGCTCCCAAATTTGATTTTTCTAAATTTGTTTAGTTTTAGTAACGAGGTCTTAAGAGACTTTTACGTATATTAAACAAACAAACAAACAAATAAATAAATAGACAACATAATGCATCCAATAGAGAGTTAATACTATTTTCACTTATATAAAACTCATTTAAATATTACCACATGAAGCACATTTGTAGTTGCCTGACAAAACATTTTTACCTTGTATTGGGGAAATATAGGGACAAAAAAGTATTCTATTCTATTCTGGTGTATTTTTTATAATATTTATTGTTACTCACGCGCTCCCACAATATAGCCTATAGCCTACAGATACAGTGTGCTCTAACATTTATATGTGTCTCTTCAATTCTTTACTGAATAACAGGAATACGCTAGTCTATGGACGGACATAAAGCGGAACAGAGGCTCACAGCGCATCCGTGATGGTGAAATCGGTGCGTGTTCAGTTGAGCGCTGCTCTCTCAGCGGTGAGGAAGGAGTTTGGTGTATTCCAGCGCGCATACGCCCCCTACGCTCCTCTCCTCTCCTCCTCCTCTTCTTCTCCTCTCCTCTCCTCACATCCATCCACCCGAGAGAGCTGCTCTCGCCCCTCCGCTCATTCATCCGCTCGGACAGTCTCCATCCTTTGACGGAGAACAGAAGCAGCAGGGCGGTGGCAATCGCAAGCCCTCAATGCTCGGCATTTGGACGGAAATCCGCGCGTCAAACCTGGAGAGACAGGTAGGGCTCTTTGTTGCGATGTCATCCCGTGTATGCTCACTATCCGTGAAGTGTGCACCGTAAACAGGCTAAATGTGTCCTCTCAGCGCTTGCAGAGAGAGCTCAGCCTATGCCCTTGTGATGAGCCTAAAATCTTGCGTTATTCTGGCATTTTGTGCGGCAGGCCGGCCTGTTAACAAGGGTTTGCTACCGCTTTTGGTCATGTGGTCATTTTTTAACTGGGTTTAGTGGAGAGGACAGTTAAAGGATGCCGTTGTTACACTGAACAATAGCCTACGTGTAATGTCAGTGCAGGTACAGTAGACTAACCTATTTCACTTATAGTGGAGGACAGCGCTGATATTTAACCCATTTAGGTTTCATATATTGCATAAAGCAAGCTTTCATTTGCTATGTTTCTTACCCGTTTGCCGTGTTATGGTATCACGTGCAGAATAACATTTATCTTCGCTGTGTGAATAGGTTACCTGAGCTTCACCATAATTTAAATGTTGCATATTGGTGACTCAGATGTAAGTGAGGTGTCAAGGCTGTTTAATGAAAAGAGGGTGTGGCATCGGGGGCAGTCGCGCGCGCTTCGTGTGGCTCGAGAAGCCAATTAACTGAAAGCTGTTGAGACTTATGGAGAGCGCGGGAGTACGTACGCTCCAGTGCGCGCCGTGTTAGTTTGCTATAATAGAGCTGAAGGAGCAAGCTGGGAGAAAAATGAACATTTGCCAACGCATTTCGGAATACAACTGGACTTGTTATGTATTTGTTGGGGTGTTTGTATTGTGCGGCTTGTTTATACTACAGCACCCATGTGGTTCATACCAGATTTTTCTGCTGTGTTTTGCCTGGAGAGGCTCAGATGGGTATACAAAGGTCTCCAGCAATTGGATTACCAAGTGAAGTTGCTTTTCAAACCTGGGAATGTTTAAAATTACGTTATCCAGGCTTGGAAAAGTAATGGAAATTATTAAAATCTAGGTCATATCCTACATCCCCTACATTCTCAAAAATAAAGGTTATTTACTGGGATCTGTGGTTTCTTTGAGAAGCTTTAACATTCATGAAACCTTTCCGAAACGCTCTTAAAAATAAAGGTTCGTTATTTGCATTGATGGTTCAAATTGAACCATCAAAAGGAAAATGTTGTCATTAATTACTTACCCTCATGTCCCTCCAAACCTGTAAGACCTTCGTTCATCTCTGGAACACAAATTAAGATATTGGAATTAGATGAAATTCGAGAGCTTTCTGACCCTGCATAGACAGCAACATAACTGAAATGTTCCCAGACCCAGAAACGTAAAACGTTGCATAGACTAAATATTGCTTTTGTTAAAAGTCAAACTTGGTAATTTCTGATTTGAATCATTATTTAAATTTTCTTATCCAGTGATCACAAATGACTGGAAAGGTCATGGAAAAAAGTCAAAAAGTGCCCTGGATATTAATCAAAGTGGATGACTGAAAACCAAGGCGGACACATTTAAGTAAAACCATAAAAAACTGGACACAAATTTAGTTGAACAATAACCTATCTTTCCTGTAAGTAATGAGTGGATCTGTTGCCAAACCACAGAAGTGCATTGGTCTGGATGGCCATATCATTTATCACATGTGAATTTTGGCATTGTTCCTTTCTATCTCCAGATTAGAGTTATTAATAGATGAAAAACACCTTAGTTTTGAACCTTTTTGAACAATCGTTAATTTTTGGACAATTTTGGACAATTTTGTTAATCATGCTTCTTACTGCCTTTGATTTTTAATACATTTGAGCATATTCTGAAGAAAATGTGAGTGCTATTGTGCCAAATAAAAGCTGCTGCTATAATGCTACAAGCTTCCCATAGGATCCTATAACTTTGTAAACAACTGTATGTGGTTGCTGGGGAATTCAAAAAAGCCCACTCGCAAGTTTTTGATCCTTCCTTTAATGTAAGGTATTGGGATTTTATTGTCCACCAGGCAAAAATAGTAAGTCTGATCGCTCAACCCTTGTGCGTATGTTCACACTGATTTTATTAGAATATCACATGACCATCTGCTATATTCCAATCTGCTTTCACGCATTGGCGCTGAACCAAAGAGAGCCCAGAGAGAGCTCATCCCTTGTCATATATTACAGCTGTTCAGTGTTTTCACCCACATAATGTTTATGTCATTTTTTCCAGACATTTAAATACACATAAATACTAGCAATGATGTCTATGGAAATCTTTTAAACATAATTTAATGATGTGTATTTTTCACATCATAAACACATTGTATAGGTAACTATAAAGTTTTCTCTATTCTTACTTACCGACACATATTTGAGAAACAGAATATCAGATATTTCACAGTATAGTTAGCAAGCTTGTGAATATTTTCAATTAAAAGGAACAATGCAATAAAACCAATACATGTTTTATACAGTGCTAATGTGGCTGCGGTGTATCATGTGATAAGCTTGAAGAGTAGCCATAGAAGTAAGGTGATACATTCTAAACTAACAGTCTAACTCACTCCTGGGGCTCAGCTTGAATATTTTAAACGTACGTGTGAAATGGTTAAATAGGTAATAGCACACCTCCTCAACAAGCCGCATGATTTGAGGTATCATTTTTTTTGGCAGAAACTGTGGATGAGTAATACGCCAAAGTGGAGTGTTGAGTTTTTATTTTTTTTTTTAAAACCCCAGGAACGAGCAATAGTAAAAGCAGGCACCGCTAATTAGCCGAAAACCTACAGTTTAATTCATCTCAAGGCTGTAGCAATACAAAGTGGCAAAAATTCTGCAAGCTATTCCTGTAGCACGTTGTTTGGACTAATTGAGCACAGCGTGCTATTAATGGCAAACTGCAACCGTCCCGTCCTACACATGCCTCCATCATGCTCTCAGCGTTTCTATATAACGTCCCATGAGTTCCCCTGATGACAGTTTGCTTACATGCATTGCATTGTGCTGCTTTTGGCAGTTCTGTAAGAATAAGATCCTGTTTTCACAGCCTTTTTTACCCATGAGCACAACCGAAGGCGAATGTGTTGCACAGGTAAACTGGAGTTAATCAGCCAAATGTGTGCTCTCAATAAACAAAACATTTAGGCTGAGTCTGAAAATGAAGGTACAATGGCTGCTTTGTTTGCTTGGCGGCCAGACAGTCAATGGCTCTGTCCCAAATGTTAGCTTAAACCATTGCAGTCCATCTCTGAGCCCACATTTTGGTGACGTAATGCTTCATAAACTGTCGGGTATAGCAGTCCAACATGGAATCCACATCAGCTTGGACCCAGCAAAAAGATGCATCGAGGAGGCTTGTGAGAACTGTTGAGAATCAGAAAATGGTAAATGGGACACCTTACTGTCTCCTGGACTTCACAAATGGTCTATCGCAGGACCTCAAATTCACATTTCTGACAGGGCCAAAGTGAAAATTCTCTCTAGGGATAAGATTATATAATCTTATCGGTCATTTTCAAAACCAATTTGCCGATAAAATAGTTTAAAAGCATTTAAAGAAAGTTTTTCTCAGAGCCCTTGTTATTCTGACAATTTCATTTTTACACCAGACATACATATCGGTTTAAGATATCGGTTATCTGTTTACTTGATCTGTAATAATTGGTATCGGCCCTGAAAAACACATATCGGTTGACCCCGAATTCTCTCATCGTTTACTTATCCTCACGCCATCCCAGATGTACATTATATACTTTTACAACATGTCAACGTTTATGTCAAGTGTGAACTCATGAACCCATGTATGACTGTTGGTTTGAAGCGTGGGTTTATAGTTTGAAAAGTTTTTTTTACCCATGCCTGCCGTTTCTCTTCAGAAATAAATTCGGTGATTCATCAAATGGGGTCGTATGGATTACCGTCGGGTTTGTTTTGTGTAGTTTTTGAAGCATCAAGTTTGAGGGATTTATCCACTTGCATTACATGGACTCAAAGAGATGGATTAATTTTCTAAAAATCTCCATTCGTGTTCATCTGAAGATAGAAGGTCAGTCATATACATCTGAGACAGCATGAGGATGCATAAATAATGAGAAGATTTTCATTTTTTGATGGAGTGTCCTTTTAACAAGCACATTTCAAGGAAGAATTTTGTATAATGTGTAATCTGATGATCTACAAATACAAATATATTAGAAAATATTTCAGAATAAAATGTATATATATATATATATATATATATATATATGAAATACTTTATATGTATACATAATGTTTATTTATTTCAAGTTATGAAAATGTTTTTATGGTTTCAGTTAACTAAAATAACCCTGAGCTGCATTGTGGGGATCCATCTGTGCTGCCCTCAAAACCAGACCAGACGGAGGCATCTGAATAGACAGGATGTTGCACTATGACATAACGTCGTCTTCTTTAATATAAGCCTCTTTTTGTGGCCTTTTTTCCTCTCTAGGCCCTAACCCATCCTCTCTGCTCTGTCTGCTCTTATGGCCTCCAGGGCTGACAAACTGAAAAAATTACCCCCTCTTTTTTCTCCACCCCCATCGCAGGGCTCAGAGAGTGCAGATCACTCTTCATTCATGTTTAACAGTGTCCCGTTTGCTGTGTGTGTCTTGAGAGGACAGTGTCTGTGCTTTAGAGTCAGGGTTGGGAAGGTTTTGATGCTCACAGAAGGAGAGCTGCCTCCCACGGGAGCTTATTTGCCTGTATATGAGTCAGTTGTATGTATGAAGTTCTGCCCTGATCTTACAGAAGAATGTAAATTATTCAGAAGGCAGTTAAGCTTTGTGGTCTTGTGGGTGACAGCATGACTGTCTGATTGCTGTGAGTCAGCACAATTTTCTCTTGCCGCTTCATCAGACCCCTTTTGACATTCATTGGATTCACTGACATCTTTTAAATGGACACGAGGTGGAAAATGAAGGGGTAGGTGGTGATGCCTTCCAGGAGACACTGATACCTTGGAGCTAAAAGCAGTTTTACTTCCCTCAGTATCGAATCTGGCATTGCCTTTGTTTATTTCCTAGGAGAGCCTTTTAAACTTTCCATC